GAGTCCCGCTCAGCGCGTACGGGAGAAACGCTGCCGGCTCGCCGTCTTTCCGGGGGTGGTGGCGGGGGAGCATCACAGCCACAGAGCTTGGCTCCTCGCTCACGTGCACGCACGGCCTCTCTCTGCCGCCGAGCCCTGACAGGCAGTGACTAAGCCGCCATAGCGCAGAAGGTCGCCGGCTCAGCCTGGACGCGGCTGGGCTGCGCGGCATAGCAGGGGTGGGGGGCCTGGGAGCCACACGCTCGGGCCTCAGTTTCCCTAAAAGTGAACTGAGACTAGATGCAACACTGGCTCCAGATCGGGCGCTCGGGCACGGACCGCACCCTCTTGGGGGCTGTAGCGGCAGTCTAATTTCCCATAGTGCAACGCAGGTGGCTGGACTCCACGTCCCAGAACTCCTCGCGCCCGGCTAGACGGTGGGGGCCCCTTTCTCTCGCGTGCTCCGAGGAGCGTCTGAACTCATTGCCCACAATGCTCTGCGAGCAACGAGGACTCCATTTCCCATCACACCCCGCGGCTGGCCTTCCGGCCGCGCTCCCAACCGAAGAACGCAGGCCAGGGTCTGAACTTTTCGCTCAAGGCTCTTTCCGCGTGGGCACGTCCGGCCTCGCTCGGGCGGCGCCCCAGCGACGGCACGATGGACAGCCCCGAGGTCACGTTCACCCTGGCCTATCTGGTCTTCGCCGTGTGCTTCGTGTTCACGCCCAACGAGTTCCACTCGGCCGGGCTCACCGTTCAAAACCTGCTGTCGGGCTGGCTGGGCAGCGAGGACGCCGCCTTCGTGCCCTACCACCTGCGCCGCACGACCGCCACGATGCTGTGCCACTCGCTGCTGCCGCTCGGTGAGGCCAGCCAGGCGACTCCCGGGGACCGCCACCTCCCCGGCTTGGCCCGCAGGCCTCCAGCCCCCCCATGGCCCTGCCCAGCGCCTGGTGGGGCGCGCTCACCACCGGCCCGCTTGGTAGTGTCTGGCTCGGGTTGCAGCTGTGACCCCAGGCCTCGCAGGATGTGCAGGCCAAGGCTGATGGGGATTTCAGGGGTTCCCATGATTCCCATGCAGCTTGCTCGCCTGTGAGGTTCAGGGCCAGTTCTACTTTCCCGGAAGTGATGTGGCCACCAGTAGACATCACCCGAGGACACTGCCAGTCTTCAGAGCCTCTGTCCTCTCTGTTCTGGAGTCCGCTGTCCAGCTTCTGTGGACCGCCAGGACTCCCTAGAGAGGTCCCTTTGACGTATGTCCCTGAGCTCATTGGGTAGGGGTGAGTTTGGGTACACACAGCTGAGATCTCCTTCCCCACCCCAGCTGTGGCTTAAGCATGGGGGCTGCCGCCCCTCTCGCTTGGGTAAAAATCAGGAGGTAAGCAGTGCAGGGCTAGTGTGGGGGCTTCGAGGACATCAGGTACCCCCCAGCTCTGCCCTCTGCCACTGGGGACAGTCGCCTCAAGGCTGACACAGTGCTGGGCCAGCAGCTCACCAGCCTGCTCCTGGGTGGGGACCTTAGAGCCCTGTCACCACCTGCTTCATCGCACGCCTGGAGGGAGTTGGAAACTGCAGAAGGCAGGTGCTGGTTCACCATGCAGTGGTTCCTGAAAGAAGAGATGGGAAGCAGGTTCAGGGCACTGTAGAGCGCCCCCCACCCCACCTCCACCCCACTTCTGAAGGTTCTGAATGGAGCGTTCTGTGTCTGTCCTGTGAGGACCTACTCCTGAAAGGGTCGGAAAGGGGGTGCCCGGACAGCAGCTCCG